TTAAGTGAACTTCGTCATGACCCTTGATTGATTTTCAGTGACTCTTTACTTTTTTTTCATAAAAATCCCAAATTTCTTCTGTGGTTATGCCAAAGAAGTGAGTTTGTGTAAGCTTTAAGCTTGCTTTATAAGAATCTCTAGTGTTGGACGCTTAATGAGTTGTAAAATTGGTTTGAATCTGTGTCTCAGGTGAAGATAAATACTATATCTTTGCAAAAGGGAGTTACAAGATTGGTCGAAAAGGTATTGTTGTTTAACATATTCTTCTGCTTTCATCATCTTCTTGTTCATTGATCCAGTAATGATGTTAAACCTGTCCCAATGGATTTTCTTTTTCTTGTAGGATGTGATATAATTATCAATAAGGATAAAGGTGTATCTAGGATCCACGCAGAGTTAACTTTCGATGCAACATCTGTTTCAACCTCTCGGAAGAAGAAATCTTCTGAAACTTCATTTGTAATCCGTGTTAAAGATTGTTCAAAGTATGGGACTTTTATCAAAACTGACCTCGGGACGAAAGAGAAAGTTCATGAGTTACCTAATAAGGAGAAAATTCTTAAAGATGGAGATGTTGTCACGTTTGGTACAGGTGCAGCTAATTACAGGTATTCACCACTTATCAACGTGCTGTTTACTTTGTTGTATCCTTCGTGTAATATGGCTTATAGCTATAAATCATTGCAGGTTGTCTTTAATTCCGTTGGTATTTTACTTCTGCCCTTCATCTGAGACCTTTAAGGTGGATCGGTCTGTACAAGATGCAGTTTCATCAATCGGTTAGTGAAAAAACATTTTGCAAGTAAAATTGGTTCATGTAGTTTTTCATGTTATCCGCATTGCATGAAAGTATGTTGATATTCAGGTGCTCGTATTGCTCCTGCCTTGAGTGAGGAGTGCACCCATGTGCTTGTTGAGCCGCGTATGGAAGTGAATGAAGCTCTAGTCAATGCAATGTTAGCGAAAAAACCAATCATTTTGTCCAATTGGGTTAAGGTATGCCAGAGAATTCCTTTGTCACCACTCGTTTGTTGTTTGTTAATTGGTTTTAACTTCAATGGTTTGTCTAGCTTCTTGCAGAGAAAAGTATCTGCAATGAAATTCCTGGATACAGCCAGTGAGTATTCTCTTAATGTTTTTATTTAGTTACAGGACAAACTCCGCAGTTACTGACATGCAAATGTTATTACAGGTACAGACCCTCAGTTATGGTGGAAGAAGCTTTGGTGGATGTAATGGAACCAAACGTCCGTGAAAAATGTCTAGAAGGATTTACTTTTGTGTTGGAACCAACAGACACGGTATAATATCTTATTTGTTGAAAAAAGAATCTGACTCAACTGATGGTTCAATATGATTCTTGTCAAAGGTCTCTCAATAGATCTTGGACTCACTAAATTATTG